TATGGTTTATATGCTTTACACATTAGCTTTGGCAGCATGCTGTGTTTGCCGCGCATCACCGCGCGCATGAAGCAGTATTGCTGCAACATTTAGAGAAGAAATTTTTTTATGAATTTTCTTTTCACGGCCACAGGTGGCCGTCCAGCTGGCCATAAAGTCATTTAACTTTGTAAAAAGTTTCTCACGGATTTTCTTTACACAAGTTTTTCATAATATTTCATACATGGTCCCAAGCCCTTATTGCGCACCTATACATTATATTTGCTGTCATATTATTCGTTTCTATTATTGTAAACAAGCTTTTTCATGTTTAGGATAACGCTGTATTAGTGCGTGCCGCCTGCTCAGATAATCGCCGGGGCAGGAGGCCACGCCATATATGGGCGGGAGCACCGGAAAAATATTCAGATAGTTGGAGCGTGCGGCGCACGCGCGTTTATGGTCAATGCGGCAAAGCGCGTGCCTTATTTGTGGGAGTGTCCGGCACTACGCCAAACGCGTGCCATCCTAGACATTTGGTGCGTGCGGCGCGCGTATTAATGGCCAACGCCGCGACTCGCGCGCTACGTTTATGTTCGATCTTGTCACCCCGCGCTTAGTTTTGTAGCACGCCGCGCGCGTGCCTTCATACTCTATCCGCGCGGCCCGCGCGCCTGCATTTATCACATGCTGTAAGCGCAAGAGATACCCGCGCAGTGTACGACGCAGTGGCATTCAGGAGGTTAGATATTACATCGTAGCGTATGAATAGTCGCAGGTGGAAGTTTTTTGCTTCCAAGGGTTAGCCTTCGGTAGCATTGCAAATGGATGCTGGATCTGAATTTTTGGATCCAAATACGAATTCATATTTTTTGGCGTATGAAGAGTGGAATTCATTATCAAGACCTGTGGTATACAGCGCATTGAAAAACTGAAATGCAGCCATCCGCGGGCCAGCACCAGCGGCGCGGCATCCAATGTCCCGCCACCCGCGCACTGGATGTTGCGCCACCATGTGCTCAGACAATCGTCGGGGGCAGGCGGGCACCGGAAAAATAGATTGCTGATCTCTCGCACCCCGCTCGCGGATTTTTTGGAAAGCAATCAGGACTTTTCGGAAGACCGCTTGCTGAGTTCTCGATTCCTCAGAGATTCAGCAATATATCTGCAAAAGATAAGAGCGAAAAAAATTCAACAGGCGGTCTCTCAAAAATCCGCTGACTCAGCAAGCGGTCTTCCGAAAAGTCCTGATTGCTTTGCAAAAAATCCGCGAGCGGGGTGCGAGAAATCAGCAATCTATTTTTCCGGTGCCCGCCCGCCCCCAGCGATTGTCTGAGTGACTGCGCGCGCGCTGCCCGCTCCAACTCAGATAATCGCCGGGGGCAGGCGTTCCGCAAAATCGCGCTTTTCTGCAGGCGGTCAGCAAAATTCAGGGCGTGGCCAAACCTTCAGCGGGCGGCACTTCCTTTACAGTCGCATATTCTGCCAGCGGGCAGCAATACAGAGTTTTCTGCGGGCGCTCGTCAAATAATTTCTTTCAGCGAGCGCTGGCCAAACTTTCAGCAAGCGCTCGGACTCTTTTTACGCATTAACGGGCATACGTCGAGCACAGGTAAGACTCTGTGTGGCAGAGGTGTCACCGTTGGTTTAATTACTCAAGTTTGAGGTACTTTCTCTCAGCGGAAAGTACCTGGGGAACGCGCGGTCCTTCACAAAGTACCGCGCGGCCCCCGAAATTTTTGCATATTCTCGTGGAAAGTCCGCGAGAATGCGGCCACTGCGCCGCAGCTAATCTATAAGAAAACCGCGATTGTTCTCCAAGCATTCGTCTAAAATTTCGCTAAAATTATTCCAAATTTCTGCAAGCGGGCCACAACAAATCAGCGAACCACTTTTCCGGTGCGCGCTTGCTCAAAATTCGCATGGCCGCCTGCCCCGGGCGATTATCTGAGAACTGTCTGAGTTGTTCGCTGATTTCTTGCGGTCCGCTTGCAGATATGTGGAAGAAATTTAGCGAAATTTTAGAGGGATGCTTAGAGAACATTTGCGGTTTCGTTGTAGATTAGCTGCGGCACAGTGGCCGCATTCTCGCGAACTTTCCGCGAGAATATGCAAAAATATTGAGGGCCGCAAGGTCCTTTGTGGAAGATCGCGCAGCCTCCAGGTACTTTCCGCTGAGAGAATGTACCTCAAATTTGAGTAATTAAACCAGTGGTGACACCTCTGCCACACACTCAGATAATCGCCGGGGGCAGGCGGTCCGCAAACTCGCGCTCTTCTGCAGGCGGTCAGCAGAATTTTGGGGCGTGGCCAAACCTTCAGCGGGCGGCACTTCCTTCACGGTCGCATATTCTGCCAGCGGGCAGCAATACAGCATTTTTTGCAAGCGCTCGGCAAATAATTTCTTTCAGCGAGCGCTGGCCAAACTTTCAGCAAGCGCTCAGACTCTTTTTAGGATTTTCGGGCGTACGTCGAGCGCAGGTAAGACTCTGTGTGGCAGAGGTGTCATCGTTGGTTTAATTACTCAAGTTTGAGGTATTTTCTCTCAGCGGAAAGTACCTGGGGGTTGCGCGGTCCTCCACAAAGGACCGTGCGGCCCTCGAAATTTTTGCATATTCTCGTGGAAAGTCCGCGAGAATGCGGCCACTGCGCCGCAGCTAATCCATAGAAACCGCGATTGTTCTTCAAGCATTCGCCTTTAATTTCGCCAACTTTCTTCCAAATTTCTGCAAGCGGGCCGCAAAAAATCAACGAACTATTTTTCCGGTGCGCGCTTGCTCAAAATTCGCATGGCTGCCTGCCCCCGGCGGTTATCTGAGCAGAGTCTTACTTGTGCTCGACGTAAGCCCGAAATTGCGTAAAAAGAGTCCGAGCGCCTGCTGGTTTGGCCAGCGTTTGCTGAAAAAATTAATTCGACGAGCGCTTGCAGAAAATTTTGTGTGGCTGCCCGCTGGCAGAACATTAGACAGTAAAGGAAGTACCGCCCGCTGAAGGTTTGGCCACGCCCTAAAATTCTGCTGACCGTTTGCAGAAAAGCGCGAGTTTGCGGACCGCCTGCCCCGGCGATTATCTGAGTGCATGTCGGTGCCATGCCAATGGCGTGATTGCGGCTCTCCGCCACCCCGAACCCGCAAAAACGATATCCCTTTCGCTTGTTACCCCCAAAACGATATCCATCTTGCCATCAGGGCACCTGGCTGAGCTCTAATCGTTTCTCTTTCATTCATTTGGAGCTTTGAACCACTGATTGATTTTGCGAGTTGCAATTACTTCCCCATTCTCGTTTAGGTGACGGCGCTGTCGTCACCAAAACGAGAACGTTTACTCATTTCCTGTTTTTTTTTATTTTTCAATCCAAAAGTTCGTGCGTCGTGCACCCACGCACTAAGCAGCTTGTTTTTCTTCTTTTTCAGGGGCTGTTTTTTCGAAATGATTATTATCATTATCGCTTGAAATGTGATCAAAGTTTTGATTTTCTCTTCTTTTGCTTAAACTCTAGTTTTTAAAATTCGCTTTGAACTATTAATAAAGATTTTTCAGAGACACAAAAGCAAACATCACGCGAACTTCCGTAATTCTCTAGCTTGAAAAAATCTTCGACAAAGCTTGTTCGCACAAAACACTAGAATTTTCGATAATTTGAACGGATTGATTATCATCGGATACAGATATGAAGATATAATGAGCGTTTAATGGTTCAAAATATCAGAAATGCTTTAGGGGACAACCATGCTTTCTTGTAAAACTATAAAATACATGCATGCGTATAAATAATAATTTTAAAAAGGCATTACATCAAAAAATGCTATATTTATGCGAGGTTTCAAAAATCGAATGCGTGCGGTCACGCAGAAAATTATTACCAAGAGCTCTTCAAAGCCAAATGAGAAGCGCAGGAGGAGTACGGTAAGCTTGAAGAAAGGACGAAAATGATTTTCCTGATTGCTGTGAAATAAAACGGGTTAATATGTCAGTTCTAGAAGCAAAAACAAGAAGTTACCTTCATGAAATGACCCCAAGAAGAAGAAATGGTTGAATGGTAGAAGGTGGAAAAAGGGAGAAATGCTGCGTCAGATATATCTGAGTGTGTCGTTTGCAAATTTTGTGTGACTTGCGGTGCAAGAAAAGAACGGCACAAAGTTTTGGCCGGATTTAGACTGCGTTTGATTTCATTCAAGTTATCAACGAAAATCTGTTTCAAGTCGCTCCAAACTTTCGTACATAAGGCCCGTATGCATGGACATTCTTGCGGGGAGAGAAACGACTTCTCTGCGGGCGAACGCAGCCGCGACTTTTCCACCATCAGTGATGCCCTTCACCACGCCGAGGGATGTTAATACGTACGTGTAAGTCGCTAGAGTGTGCAGCCATTGGAGACGGAAAGGGAAGTAGGGAAGGTTAGGTTCGAAAAACCAAGATTTTATGTTTCATGAAAACTATGCAATTCGTCCTTTCCGCTTTTTAGCGCTTGATGTATAAGCATTTACCGCATGCAAAGACAAGGCGTCACTGCATACGCTGTCGGCGTCTCGTCAATTGAGCGTTCTTTCACTCCTTTTACAGTCTGCTATCTCTTCCATGCAAGAACTATCTTAGTCGGATGTAACAAGTCCAGTCTGTGTGTGCGATGAACTGCCTACACATATCGTTAGAGGACTCCTCGTCGAATAAACTGGCAGTCTGTTCGTGATTTACGTTCTGTCCATTTTGATAAGCAAGGCCCATTTAAACTTCATTTAGATTGCAATCATGCGCGTTGTAAGCAAATGTAGCTTGTCACATACAAGGAGCGCAATCAAGTGTAGGTTGTAGGTGCAGCAGGCCAACACTGAAAGTAGCTTGAGTTAACAAGAATATTGACAAAAGTACATTACATTCGAAGCCAAATTTTAGTTATAGTCTGCTATACATAATGGTTTGCAGACTTAACCCCCCCCCATACAAGTCTGAAGAGAATATGATTTTCTTCGAAAAAAATTATGAGATAGCTCAGATTAGACAGTGACAGATTGACACTTCAGGAACCTACAAGCGCCCATATAACGCCTTGGTTTTGGAAGTGTGTTGTTGTTTATACGATAGCGTTTCAAGGGGCTGTACTTCTGTTTTACTTTGATGGAAATCCCTTTAAAGTGAAAATTGCACCAAAGAAATTCGTAGGATTTTACTTGAATGCCGGTCGCCTTGGTAATCAGGTACGCTCGGTTCCAAATCTGCTTTCGCTAATAAAATTGTATGTGAAATAAAATTTTTAAGAAATAACAAAATTCTGCATATCTATCATGTTATGACGTTTACGACTCTATCACCCATTTGTTCACAAACACTATGGGAAACTTTAAACGCTCACCTGGGAGTAAAAAAACGCCACTTCACATATTCTCCCTTTCGCAGTAACAAAAATTGGAACTAGCTCTTTTTTAAGAAAGGTTTCCAGAAGAGGATTTCTGTAATATGATTTTCATCTATTCTTGCTTTCGGTTTTTTATGGAAAAGAAGCATGTAGCTACTGCACAAACTTGCTTGTAAGAGGTTTTACAGAAAAGAGCTTATAAAGTGAATTGTACAAAGTTGGGAAGATTAGAAAGTTATCATAAGGATGTTTCTGACGAAGCAGAAATTATTTGCCCAATTGGAGGGGAGACGATCTTTTCGCACGGGCGGTCTCCAGCACCCTGATTTTGAGTTATCTTGACAAGTCACACACGCCGCAAATCTCCCCTCCCCCTGCTTTGCTTAGGCAAAAGCCGCCGCAGGGTGTGTCTCGCGCGGCGGCGGTCTCGTGCGGAAAGCATTACGGTTGTGCGAATCGCCCTACACCCCAACTGGAGTGTTGAGCATCGAAGAGTTTAACAATCTTATAACAGGATTCCAAAATTTCCATAGAAGGGGGAGGGGAGGGAAGCGAGAGGTGGGGAGGGGGGGGGGGGAGAGAGAAAAAAGAGCAAAGAAATTATCGTGAAATAAAGAGACATAAGCCAAGCTTTTCGAGACTAAGCTCTCCAGATCATTACCGGGCTTGTTGCACGCAGAATCAAAAAAAAAATTAACCACATCTCTTCTCACATTTTTATGACTTGAAGGAAGAGTAACATGCAGAGATTCATAATCCATGTATAATATTAGGCTGTTGCAAAAATAATGTCCGTTTTTCTAAGCTTGCATTCCAAACGACTTTTTTTCGTCAAACTTTTTTTTCTATATACATTCTGCATATCATTAAAAAGCTCCCATCATTTACTTTCTAAAGGTGGTGAAATTAAGCCTCTATCCTTATTTGTGAAATTTTCACCAGCATTTTGCACAACCGCACTCAGAATCCAAATCTCATAGCTTTCACTTTCTTGACCACAAGTCAGGAACAAGTAAACAAACTCTTCTGAAAACATAGCAATTGTACTGGATAAAGATTCTTTATATACTATGGATCAAAAATTTCCCATGATCAAGGCAATCACTGAAGCTTCGCTCCTGTAAGCTTCTGTAAGCTTGAGATAAGCACACCTTAACTACAACATTTGAAGAGAAACTTAGCTGTTAAGTGCGCGAAGAATTTCAGATTTTCATAATTTGGCACTTACAAGCCTCCAACAAATAAGCTCAAAAAAGTGAACATTCTTGAATTTTTATTCTTTCTTTTCGCAGAACTGCTTCCTTAGAGTCTTTTCTCCACACACGTATACTATCGGTCTGCGGCCTACAAAATAAGCTGATTGCCAGCCATAGGAACACAACTTGAAAGAAGTTGTAAGCTCTTAAAGGCGAGGTTCTCAAGAGAAAAACGTTCAGTCTTTTGACGCATGGTTTTCTTCCCGTTTGCGATATCAGTACATGCAGATGCGCGTTAGGTTACGAAAGGTTTACTCTTTTCAATATTTTTGACTAATTCAAAAATATGAAGACTGGACAAAGTTATAGTCTTCCAAAATGAAATTTCGCAAAACGGACATTATTTTTGCAACAACCTAATACTTTCAAATGCTACCCATGCTGGGAGGGTTATCCGTCATTGCTTCATGCCTATGCTCCGACATTATTGTGTTGAAAACAAGAAAAGCCGTTCTATAAGAATGAAAACCTTCCACAAATCCAAAGTTTTATGGAAGAAAACGAGGAAGAGCCTTTTTTTTCTACTGCATATTAAAAAGAATAGATTTTTCATTATCCAGATGTTCCACATGATCACTGGGTATGGAATTGCTAGAACAATGAACCGGGTCCACTATTTGCCATTCGGACGCTCACGAGCACATGTAGAAAAATATTTGGCTTATCTAGAAAGAATTTTCCCTCGCTTAAAGCAAACATATGTTCTTGCAAAGGTGAGCTCAGTCGTTGTTCAACTTCCTACAGGAAGAGAATACTTAGTCGAAAGCACCAATCCAGGTAAAACATAATTCATCTTAAAACGCATAAAATGCTGATTCCAAATTTGTAGTTACCAGCAGCGGAGCAGTTTTGTAGAAGGAGTTATGAGGGTGTTTCACTCTGGGGTTGAGGCACCCTCCAGTAGGTCTCCCCCTATCTATGAGCACTGTAGAGGAGAACCAACTGGTGACAATTGGCCTAGTGGTAAGTATTTCAGCTGAAGATTACAATAAGCATTATAATACTCATATTACTTTGGTTTTAATAACGTTTCTAACTTCGATTAGCATCAATATCATCAGAAATTTCAGGCTTCAGGGCTCCAAAGCCATTTAGAAGCAAACCTTGACACTCTCCTTATCAAGCAAGTTACTTACCAGTAGGCCATTTGCCACCAGTTGGTACTCCTCTACAGTGCTCATAGATGAGGGGAGACCTGCTGGAGGGCGCCTCAACCCCAAAGGGAAGACCTCCTCATAACTCCTCCTACAGAATCCGCTGCTAAAAACTACAGACTTGAAATCAGCGTTTCAAGCGCTTTAAGATATACAGGGTGTCCGTAAAGTATGTACACACTGTTTGACCGTTAATATCTCTTTTCCCAAGATCTTTTGCCTTGCTTCAGGTACCATTTTGTAGAGCTGGCTTCAACTTAGATTTGCAGTATAGAACGAATCACCCATCTCTCTGCATTACTGTGGGATTACGGTAGGAACTTGAAACATATGGTGTCAAAAAAAGCTGCCATTTCAAAATTTTTCAAAAAAATGTGAAAACTTGTGTAATAGGGTTTTTATGAACGCTGAGTTCAATACTCAACTATTCATAAGATTGCGAAGCTTTCTAAACGGTGTAACCGCACTTTTTAGGATCATTGAAAAAATGGCCGTCACCTCTTACCTAGCATAACTCTTCAGTGAAGCATCATAATAAGTTGGGAACTTTACAGTTAAAATTAGCAACTCTAATTAGCCTAGTGTAAAAGTTTTCAGGCTGTTTTGTCTCCTTTCTGAGGCAAAATACGGCTTTTCATGGCCCAAAACCCTCTTTCGACTTTCTACCGTAATCCTACAGTAAAAGAGAAAGATGGACGATTCGCTCTATACTGTAAATCTAAGCTGAAGCCAGCTCTACAAAATGGTACCTAAAGCAAGGCAAAAGACTTCTTGGGAAAAGAGATATTAACGATCAAACAGTGTATACGTACTTTACGGACACCCTGTATATTAGGTTGATGCATAATTCCTGCACCAAAATAGGTATAGACCGCAATAATCCGGAATAATCCTATATCCCAAATAGCATTCGATAAATCATTAGATAGAGCAAACCTAGCTATATACAAGATGGTACTCAAAGTTTTGCAGCAGCCTTGATCCAAGCGAAGATTGAAGTCAAAAACGGAAAAGATCCAAGCGGCTTAAAAAATCAAGAAAAATTGGAAGCCCGTTCAGAAAAATCCTCCAAAATTCCTAACTTGCTCATGCATCGTCATTTCGTCTAAGACATTTTTCTATGCAGTTGCTGTATTTTTTTCCGCTAGAAAACGAAAAAACCGAAGTTTTTCATATTTTTTCCAAAATAATGCTGGGGTGTTCTAGCACCTATAGTTGTATACTACAGGACTTTAGAAGAGTGTGCGTGAATTTTCAGCTTTTTAGAGCAGTTGGCTTACGAGAAATATCGAATTTTTGGCAACAAGGCAAGAAAAATTTGGATATAGAGAGCTAGATTCGATATTTCACGTGAACTAGTTCTTCTAGAAGGCTGAAAATGTAAAGTTTTACTGCTAGTAGCATGTACTATACACCGTTAGTGTTAGAACATCTCAGCACTAATTTGGCAGAAACATGAAAAACTTCGTTTTCTCATCGTCAAGCTGAGAAAAAAATACAGCAACTGCATAGATAAATGTCTTATGTAAAACGTCTACGCGTGAGCAAGAAAGAATTTTTGTAGGAGCTTTTTTAACGGAGTAACAATTTTTTTAATCTGTCTTAAGGTTTTCGGACCATGGTTTTTTTCAGTTTTTGGCTCAAAACTTCGCGTGAGTCAAAGCTGGTTTAGATTTTTGAGCAATAATTTGTAGAGCTAAGTTTGCTCTATCTAATGATATATCAAATCCTATATAAAGATAGGAGAATTTCGGATTTTTGCGCTCTGTAACTATTCTGGTGCAAGAATTATGCATTAACCTAATAGATAAGAGCTTTAAGATAAGATATGATATGTCTTATCTGGATTAGTGCTTTCGACTAAGTATCCTTTCCTGTTAGTGCAAAGTATCAGGACTCTATACCTTTTAATTACTTGTAATGATTCAAACCCAGTATTGTGTGAACCTTGATTGTCAGAATGGAACAATAGAGAGGAGAGTGCCTTTTGCCAAATCTTGTTGTACTTATTACGATCCAAAGAGGTTTGAATGGTGTAACTTAGCGTGATCTCTGCAAGGTGCGCTAAAATTCAGGCTGAGCAACCTCACAGATCAATTTCTGTTGTTGAAGTTCCGTTTTGGGCAAAATCCTAGATATTTCGAGGACTATATCGTAGATGTGCGTGGTATCCTAAAATTTTCGGAAGAAGTAAAACGAAATGGAAGTCAATTACTTTTCTCCTTGAAAAAGTATGAATTCCGCGATTGTATATCTCCTCCTCTTAAAACATTGATTCAGCTACTCTGAGTCTATGTGCATTCACGTGCGCATGGGTGATTTCGTTATAAGACGTATCTCAACTGATATGAACATCACTGTGGAAGCTGCCAATAAGATCGCCAAGAAAATGGTATGTTCAAATCGTTAAATAGCAGACTTCTTATCTTTGCAGATTTTTGCAGAACATATCGCACTTTATGATTTTCGGAGACGATAAAAAATTCATGACCAATATGTCACGAAATATTGTGAACTCCGGTGGATGGAAAGATGATTTACGTTGATCAACCATCAAACTTCAAATACTTTGATACATTGCCTACATTTTAGGCAGTGGCTATCTCAAAATACAAGGACTACCTGGATTTGTTTTTGGCATCTCAATTATGTAGCTCATTCCTGATTACTGCGGCCACCTCAACTTTTGGCTGGTGGCTTGCTTTCTTTGTGCAAAACCAAAATGCAGTCTACTACTTGAACGATACCAGAAGACATGCAGACAAAGTGCCCAGCAAGGAACTTTTTTTGTAAGTTAAATTTACCTATATAATCAAACATTAAACAGGTTCTTGCATGTCACTTCAGTATGAAGAGAAGTGCTCTTCGAGGCGTAGCTGTACAATAACACTTATGCGAATTTTGACAAGCTGTGTTCCTTCCTACCACTTGATACAAGATTGATTTTCTACTTTCAAATTTGTAAACGCTTTAACCGATTATTCATACGCTCAAACCTTTTCTAAAGAGGGTCCGCAAAAAGGGAAGCAGATCTAAAATCAGCAGAAACGCGTTTACTCATATTTTACGCTTCACCGGAACAATTGGTACCCTTTGCTTGTAAGAAAATCTGGATATCAGCGATTTAGTCAAAATCATCTTGATTGTAATAGATTGATGCAAAAGTTCGTTTTCTCCATTTATAAAAAAATTATAAATTCTTGCTTCTTTGACAGATTTGCGCAATCTCAAATTTGCTTAGAGGAAGCCATTTTCCTTGTAACAGTGCTTGTGCCTTTACTGCCCTCTGAAAAATGTGAGTTTGAGAGAAAAGCTGGGCGCAAAATAATTTCGGCTTCAACCATTAGTTCGCCAAATTTCTATGACCTGCGTAGAATTCGGAGCAAGCAGTGGTAAGTTTTGATTCAATAATCAAAACTTACCAATGCTTACCACTTACCAATAATCCATTCTTTCCAATTGTAGAAGTTCTGCGTTAAGTGAGCACTTTGTGAAGAATTTTTATTTTTGGATAAGCAATACGGAACAGCAAATTTGTTTTCTCTGCCATTTTTTTTTCGAAATTCGTAACTGTTCACACAGACGCTCATTTCACAGAAACTTCGCAAATTGGTTGGGATCATAAGGGGTGTATATCTGCTTGCTCCGAATGCTATTGCAGATTAGAATTCTGGCGACTTAACTCAAATCGGTCGAACGTGTTATGGTTTTATTCTCCTGCATCTCTATTGAAGCTCACACTTGTCAGAGACAGCAAAGTAAAACGAAGAGTATGTTTTTTTTACTTAGCAAATTTGAGTTTGTGCAAATTCGTAGGAAGAGCAAGAAAGATTTCATAAAATGGTGCAAAACAAACTTTTGCACCAATATCTAAAGTGTGGTAATTCATGCAGAAATACTCATCGGAGTAAATCCAACTAAGCGCTTTGCAAGTTTCCAAAGTACACAGTCAATAAACACTTCCTGGGCATTTGACTGGTTATCGCTTAGAAAGTAACTGACCTGGTTTTGGCGAAGGGTAACGATAAGAACATGTTCACTCCAGGAAATGTTCCTAAAACTACATTAATTTTTTGTGAAGTTAATGCTTTCCAAGGAAGGAGGGATTGAAGGTAACAGCAAGCCAACAACAGCTCATAATTACATCAATCCATTATACATCATTTGGCGTGAAAGGCTCTGCTGGGGCAAGACTGCATGCTAGTTATATACAAATAACTACGCGTCTATGCATATAAGAGCTGCACATTTTAAGTTCGTATAGATTTAGCAAAATACCAAATCGCGGAGTTTCGGCGACTTGATAAATCCTGGAAGTGTACCTTGGGCCTCACACGAGGAGTACAATACGGCAGATTAGCATGCTTGAAATTTCCGACCACAACTATAAAAAGCTTCTTCCAGAGTGGCGCAGCTGCGCCGGCGCCGAGCTAGTGGTGTCTCGGCGCCAGGCCTGCGGGCCTCGAGTATTGATTGAAATTTTTGTCAAAAGTTCCGGTAGAGCTGTCCCGGCATGGCGCTAGCATAGGGCCGGCACAGCTCTGGCGCTCTGGACGAAACCTATATTAGTGTTGCGACTTCACAAAAACTGTCATTCTTAGGTTTTGTTCATTCTAGGTCATTGTTTCCTTTATCATATTCTTTTACAGAAAATCATGGCAGTTATACACCGAATAAAAGGAATAGCCATTTCGCTGTGATGTGTCATCATGTGGCAGTTCTTGCTACAATTAACATCTATGTGATCATGGCAAACACATTTAGATGATGTACGCAATGCATAACCAGTGCTATCTCAAGGCTAAATCTAGTTGTCGCCATTGTCAATATTTGAGCATTCAGTCAATAATTTTGACACGTTTTCTTTACAGCCGAGTGGATTTCCCGCTTAATATAGTGTGCTTGCACTGAAGGTGACATGTGGTAAAATTTGCGCGTGAACAAGTAGCCACGCTAGTAATGCCAACATTTTGCACGCGCAAATGGCCGGCGTCACAGGCGTAGCTATTAGCTTTAAGCGCAAATTTTACCACATTTCACCTTCAGTGCAAGCACACTATATTAAGCGGAAAATCTACTTGACTGTAGCTTTGTTTCTATTATATTGTCTATTAAGATAATTGCAAATTGGTGAACATGTGCAGAAAATACCGCTTGCTTTGAAATATATTGCTGCCATGATAAAGGTATGCAAGTTTGAACTGATAGCTTCTGTGAGAGCCTTTACAATTTCTTAAACTACAGTATTGGCAAGTGACGTTATAAAGTTGACAAGTAACTTCTAAATGTATGGAGTTTAGAATTGAAAACGTAATTAAAACATGCCCGGCAACGCTAATGGTGATGCATTCATCTCAAACCAACCCCGCTACCGTATTTGGTAAATGGCTGGTGTCGGTCATATTGCATGCGGATACACCTCCTAGTGGCGGTTCGAGAGCCTCCGCTCCTGAGAGTGACTCCCGAAATTTCTAAAGATATTTACCTGGGATATAACAACTGACTTATTTATACCTGTGAATAATCGTAACTTTTTCAAAAACTCAAATCTACCATGTGAAAAAAAATTTGTTCCGGCGTTGCACGCCACTACGCTCCCTCTAGATCGGGATTATGGGTTCGCAAAAATTTTCCGAAGCATCCCAAAAGATTTTTTGGAGTGAGTGACTGACGCCGCGCACCTTCATCTGAAAAATTTTCGACACCCCAACGGGAAATCCTGAGATCGCACCTTCGCACTCATTTCTGAAATATTAGGTCGGCAAAAGTTTTGTCATTTTTATGAATTGACTCGCAAATCCGGTACAGTAGCGAGAATCAAACACTTCAAGCTGTATCCGAAGCAGAATTCTGACTTCCCGCTATTTTTAGAAATTTTTAGTCGAGTATTATGGAAAGCTTCAATAGGCAACAGCTAGGGTAGACCTTTTGCCAACTAAAGCGTTTTTTCTTTTTCCAGCTTCCCTTTTAAAACGTTGCTGGACGATTTTCCAAAACAGGGCCCGGCAGGGGGTGGCATTTCAGAATTTTGAAAACGATATCCCCTTTGAAGCCAAAATTTCTTACGACTTCTCCTTTGACCCTATTTTTGACCCCCTTAAGTCCCTGACAAACAGATATACACAAATAATAAGATGGGCGGCCTCAGCGCTTATTATAGTAGTACTACCTGGCTTTCCTCGTCCAGCCCGGGTCATCAAGGTTTCAGCTCAATGGGTTCATCCGCAAAGGAATCTATAAAAAGACATAGGGTCAAGATTTGCACAAACTTTGACGTTTATATATCTAAGACACTACTCATTTATTAGTCAGCTGCGAAACTTTACAGTTTACAATAACCGATTGCGATTGGAGCGCGCTTTCCGAGACCGATCATAACGCTGTGAACCCTGTTTGGGGCTGTATCGAAGCGGTGCCTTGGTGGTTTTGGAAGCGGATTTGAACATATAGTAATATTCCCGACCTAGTCCACATTTATGTAAAGAAATCCGGGAAATTATGTGAAGGGAAGCAGGGAGCCACCCCAGGTGGCTCCCAGGTGGCGCGGGAGCCACCTAATTTCGAAAAACACTTACCATTTTCTAAATTCACATAAGTTTCTCATAATTCTTCATACTTTTTTTGTGCTCATGGTCCTCCAACTACATAGCAAATTTGGTGAAATATCGTTACTTGTGCATTGAAATCGAGCCTATTTTTTTATTTTCCTCTTACAAGAATTGCGATTTGAATTCCCGCCTGCGGGCAGGCTAGCGATCGGAGCACAGAATCTTCACATTGCTGGAATCTAAGTTCATAGGACAGTAGTATCAACAAGGAATGATGAATAAAGAATGATATGTGCATTGTTTATCGGTAAGCAAAGGGGAAGTCGCATTTTTTTTAAAATACGACTTCCCCTTTGCTTTTTCGGGCCAAAAACGATATCCAGCTTGTGAAAGCGCCACCCCCACCGGGCCCTGTTCCAAAAGCCTTAAGTTTTGCAGAAATCCCATTGCTTGTTGTTGCACTAAACACTGCAAAATCTTCAGAAAATGAGGCTTCAAACTCGATTAATATTCTTATTAAGCTTGAAAGTAAATGTGCGATTTTTCTGTCAAAATATGAAAATTTGGAAACTCAGGATACAATACTGCGATATTTCCTCCTCAAATTGCGCTTTTCGTCAAAATAGACAACTTTTAAAAAGAGAAAAAAAAGTTGCATCGATTGGCATGTGAGCTGTTTACTATTTCCTGTTCTACGAGGTCAGAATTGGCTGAACATAAATTTCGTTTGCATCAAAAATATTCTGAGGAAATTTTCGAAGGCAATCAACAAAGCTATAAAAATTACGATGACGGCGGTTACCCGGTACTCATACGGCCGCCGGCCGGTATGCGTCAGTGGCGCAACGAAATGACACTGGGCTATAGCATTTCTTTTTCTACGTTCTAGCTTTCGTTCAGCACTGTAATCTCAATAAAGGGTGGGAATCTACATCAACATATTAGGTTGTCCCATAAGTTTTTTCATATTCGGACCTTCAATTCGATTTTTCTCAGGAAGTACAGCACCTAGTAGGCTGCAAATTTTTGGCAGTAATTCTGAGCGAATAAGCTATATAATCACCTACTTGCGGGGAATACAGAAGTGATATAGGCAAAGTTTGAAAATTGAGCGCATTATTTTTTTCTTGGTTTCTAGCCATCAGAAAAATGCAGCAAGTGCATTTATAAATATCCGATGAGGAGAGTATATGCATGAAAAAATAGGAAATTTGCAGAGCTGTT